ACTACGTATTTCATCAATTGCATAATCGTTTTTTGTTTGAATACGAAAAACTACAAAAACGCGCACTTGTACAATTTCACAGAATACAAGCGTGGTCACGTGCTTCGACTCCCTCTTCTGATTTCGCTCGCGCTTGCAGCGGTCATTCGCGAGTCTCATGTACTAACTCTGGTACCAAAACATTTCGGACATCTTCGGAATCTATTATATGTGGGAACTGTTCAGAAGAAGACCTCTGGACCAACATAATTGGATTATTGTTCATTCGCTGACCTGGGCCAACGACGAACTATTTTAAGGAGAACAATTGTTAGTGAGTCTGTTCCGTCTGGTCTCTTTATTTTTGTATACCCAACCTAGCGTAATCATTTTTATTTCTTTGCCACACACTCCTGGTAAACTAACTTATTTGGTAGCCAGGTCACTACAAGGCACAGAACCCCCTAATGTTATGCGTCAAACCACGAACGAAATTAACCAGATAAATGTAAGCAGTCTGTGCACTTGCGGATGGAGATAGAACGCGATTTAAGGCACCTAGAAAAACAAGTGCAAAAACTTTATTTCAATGCAATTGTAGAACGAAGTCGCGTTAGGTTTACTTCAGTCCGAAAAGGAATTTCTGCCCGTCAGAAAATCTTAGAAGCTTATGGAAAATAGCAGAAACAAAAAGCGGGGAAAAATCATTTAGAAGACCTCCACATGAACCGAACTTCCTATGATTTACTGTGAATTTTTGCGATATCGTCGTTCGCGTCCATTTCAAAAGGTACACGGGTGTATCCTAGTAACATGCTCTCGAGCTTAGTTCAAGAAACCTCTACGCGAATAAGAACCTAAGGTTTCGTACAACTAGAATGTTGAATGCTGTTTCCGATCGTAGGTCCGAAGTGAAATAGTATACGGACTGGTAGAAATAAGCGAAGAAACTCTGGTCCAGTTTGTTTGTAGGCTGGAACAGTTTGCCCGTCGGTTCTGTTCTTATCATTCAGCGGCTTCAATTCTTCTGATAGGCACGAGCGAAAAAAGAATGAAGCACTGCTCTTGAGGTTCTCAACGCGGGGCAGAAAATTGGTCAGTGCAAGGACCCACATGAATAAGTGTGATGAACATGGCTGATACTCTATCCATTGCTCTATTCATTATTCTCTTGTTTTAACATTCCATATGCTGTACATATTCGCCAGTTCGAATACATACGTGCTGGTTGTTACGCTGCGCTGAATTCTGGATTTCTAGTTCGTCTGGTTATACCGATATACGTGCGAGACTTAATTCTCACGATAAGCGCCTAATAGTTCTTTGAACCGGGTACTAAATGTAGTGTGGGCAACCATCGGCGGAAGGTTGTTCCACGCAGTAACGATCCGAAAAGAAAGTATTGTCCAAAAAATTGTGCGTGCTGAGCTGGAAAGTTGTTGACCGAACTTTGTTCAAAAGGGGCAAAATTAAATATTATCTGTCAACGATTCTCCAGGGAAAGTAGTCAAGCACCGCGAGATGTGTTCCTAAGTCCACAGATTTAAGTTCGGCAAACATTTTTGCAGCAACTCGTTGGACAAGCTCAATGAGGATTACGTCTTTCTTGCATCCTGATTAAAACACTTGGCTGACATATTCAAGAAGCGGTCCGACGTAAGCCCCATAAAGTACTTGGTGGTCTATGTGAGTAATACGGATGAAAATTTGCAGAATCGGCCTAGAACGGCGATAGCTTTTTAGCAGATTTCTCATAGCGCAGTGTGAAAAACATTTTTGAAGATAACCAGATACTCAAATCCTTTATGGGATCCTTCCTTGAGACGCCTTCTGGTTCATTCTTACCATGCACGCTAAATGCGCTCACAGAACCCCTCCGAATTATATGGGTACATTTTTCGTCACTCACGCATGGGTGTCAATTCATCAACCAGTGCTTTGTAGCGTATACATCCATCCGGAGAGCGCTGGCATTTTAATTCCGGGTTTTCAGGTCGTCTGAATAAGGTAGACATGGACATGAAAGAACGTCTGAAGGGTCGTTGACGTAGACCAGAAACAGTAGCGTTTCCATAACAGAGCCATGGGGAACATTAATGGAGACTGGTGCCGCAGAAGACTAGATCGCGCTTACTTTCGCCTGGAATGTTCTGTTCAATTGGAAAGCCTTAATCTAGTGTACAATTTACACTCGCATCCCGTGGGACTGTAGTTTGTAGAGAATCTGGAACTGTGGGACTCAATCGGATGCTTGAGAAGTTGAAAAATATTGCACCCGACAAATGCCTTCGTCCTTATAAGCTTGGGTTAAGCTGTCCATAAATACGAGCAGTTGTTCATGCATGAACGGTGGGGTGGAATCCGCGTTGGGCTGGAGATATCGGGTTAATGTTAGTAAGGCCATCAAGGACAGCCTGATTCAGAATGCGCTATATCACCTTTCACGGCACGCTTGGGAAGTTAAGACGCCTGCAGCGACGGAGAGATAATCCGTCACCTGTTTTGTAGATTAGCGTGGCAATCACTTCCTTGCAAAATAACAGGCATAAATATATTATATAATGTGGACGACGTTTCCTTCAAGAACTTTGGAAAGACCTCAGTTGGTCCAAAAGTGCAGAACAGGCGATCTTGTGTGAGAGTTGACGAATGTCCTCATCCGTGAAGACCAAATCGGTTAGGGGGCCGTCCGTACTTACGCCCTGACAAGATAGGATGTGACGAAGACGCTGGGGCTGAGTGTAGATCTGCACAGTTTTCTCCGTAAAACTCAGGTACCATTATTGGGTCACCCGTGGGTTCCCCGCTCCTGTCCCCCAAAGGAGAACACGTATGGTCCAGTTCTACAATGATGTTTCATCTATTTAAACAACACGTTTCTGTTTTTCTGCGCGTGGTCCATAATGCTGGCTTGTTTATTGTATGTAACACAGCGGTCCATCATTTTGCGAAAAGCCAGCTCCTTTTGTGTTTTCTGTAATAAGCTTTTTAGAAAAATAGCAAGACGTCTTATCAGAAAAAGCAGAATCATTTTGGTCAACTTGCGGCCCGTCCGAGTGCGTGCTGGTTTTTTGGGACCAACATGGCTTCAGCCTCGTGGACTTTATAGACAATGGTCCTATTGGTCAACTGCCCGTCCGAGTGCGTGCTGGTTTTTTGGGACCAACATGGCTTCAGCCTCGTGGACTTTATAGACAATGGTCCTATATGAGTGTTGAAGTGAAGCTAGCCTCATTTGAACTTTTTAAAGAAATATGCGCATTTTTTATGTATGGGCCACAGAAATTTGGAATCCACGTTTGAGGTTCGGGAATTCTGAACCAGAAGCAGATAAAATCAAAGGTCAGCACACTTTGGTCACTATGTCCTACCGGCGCGTTTAACTATCACCAGACCGATGAATGATGATGACCAAATCCAGGGTCGACGGTAGTTAACCTGGACGGTATCTATTGTGTGCAGCGATATGTTGAATATAAGTGCTCTGTTGAACGGCTTTGGTAAACGTCACTGCGGAAATTTCACTTGATCCGATGCGCCATTGCTCTACATAGGGGACATTTGAAGTGGTGAAGTTATTAGTGCACGGCTGGTGAGAGCCATAATACATTTCAGGTGTAAATAGGAGTTTTTAGCATGGTTGCGATACGTATAGAAATAAATACAGTGTGAAATGGGAGCGGGTCAAAAGGGAGCTTATCGTATGTGAGAGTCCCTTGGTAAAAGTCCGGAGGTGGGAAAGTGTTTTCTTCGCAGCATGGCTGCTACACGTGTTCCATGATTGTCCGTGGACTTGGAGTGCTTGGCTGACTCCTTGCTCCCTGCGCGCGCGCGAGTCTGTCCTGACTGAGTTCGGCTTCCCTTTATGTAGGTCCCAGAGCGTATACGTGGGCGCGTCGGCACATGAGTGGTTGCTACGCTGACTGAGCGGTGCAGACAATCAATGTCCGATGAGTCAGCTTAATGCGACGTGTTTGTGCGTATGAGAAAAAAGATAAGCCTCGCGATCCAGTGAGTGTCAAGTATATGGGTGAGTGGTCGCTACAAAATCACCTACCAGTTAGGGATGAGTGAAGTGGTAGACCACACCGGGAAGGAGATAATCGGGTCAATTTAGCGTGATCCAAATCAACAGCGCATCAAAAAAGGTAAAAAACAGTGTTATCAGACAGGGCAATCTGTATGTGCACGGTCGCAAGCAGGCTCAAAACAGTTTTGAGTTGGCTAAAAAAGCAGGGTAGCCGTCTATCAATATCAGCGTGTCAGAAACATGTGGTTTGAGCCGGGCACCCGTGAGTGCTATTATGGGCGGTTGTTTAAGACAAACTGATTGTTTAATATCACAAAGTTTGTAAGAAAACGTAAGGTAGTTGATGGACAAGCATTTCAACTCCGTCTCTTCTGCCTTGAAACATGGGGAGCCGAGAGGTGCGCAACCGGAGAGGTTAACAAATTTGATAAATGTAAGCCGGATTTGAGTTCAAGGTTCCGACAAGGACTCTACGACATACTTGTCTGGTTTTTGTCTTGAGATTTTCGAGAGCTGCTTTTCATTTGCAGGTTTTTTTCTAGTGTGAGCCCGGTTTGGCGGTCCTTTTAATCTTGTGTAAGTTTCACCAGTTGGAAAAAACCCATCCGCTGCTACCTGCACCTCGCTCAATGCCGAATTTTAAACGACTGGATTGGCCGTTGTTCAGGGATCTGGAAAGAGCGTGCGTCTGTTCGTTTCGTCGAATATTTTGGTGCCATTTGCTCGATAAGGTATTCTTTTGAGGCCCTGAGCGTTGGATGTCAGCATCAAGAAGTCTTCATTTCGGTGGTGCTCCCATGGGGCTTGTTTTTGCAAGGGATTCAACCTTGAAGCTAGCCAGCGGTTTTGGATTTGGTGAATCTGATGTAGCTTGTTCGACTGTGGTCGCTTTTCTTTTGTGTTTGTGTGAACTCCCAGATACCTCTCGATTAACATGGCCAGTTAAGTGCACGAGATATTTTCATGTTCGACGTTGTCATGTGTGACTTTGTCTGTCGGCGACGACTGTGTCCTCAACATATCATGTGTGTGACTTTGTCTGTCGGCGACGACTGTGTCCTCAACCATAGTCTCCACTTGAGATGGAGAGGAGATGGAGGTTGGCTACTTCACCTGCTCAGTGGTTGTAGGGTCATCGCAGCTATTCCGGGTGTCGAGGACAACGTTTGTGGCCGATTGGTCGGTAAGCTTGGCCGATTGTCTTAACGATTTTGAATCAGTCTAGCTCAGAAGTTGTGATCTGAGGGTGGAGTTCATCGCTCTCCTATATCGTCTGTTACAAAATAAGTGATGACAGAATCACGTACTTTCCGCTGCGTCTACGTGAGGCTTAACTCCTCCCGACCATGCTGACCTTGGTGTTAAGGCATCTGCATTGTTTCATTAGAACTTACAATCCAGGGCCGCGGCCGATTGCGCCGTGACTTCAGGAGCTCGAGGGACTATAACTACAATCCATTTGGCCATGTGTTCGAGGTCGGCTGAACTGGTGCCAAGGGGGAGCAGGTTTCCTACCACTCCCACAGGACTGCTGTGGCCCAGCTTTCGCAACTCTGAAGGGCAACCCCCAGATATACGCCCGATCTTTGTCTAGGCCTTTTGAATGCTGACAATCTGCTCCATGATCTTCTGTGCGGCCAGAGGGGAGAGAAGACGGACCGGAAGCCCAAGTATCCACTTGCTTCCGTTCTGGCGTAAACAATCTGTATGGAACGATTTGTGGACAGGCTTTGTGAGGACGCTACCAGAAAGCGACTGTGTCTGATTACTTAGCATGATTTTTCTGCACAATGATCCACAGATTATCAGTCCACTCTCCCTCATGCAGCCGTTCAATATAGATGCCGTGGCGGTCCTCAGTGCCGCATCAGGGAGCTGAAGACATTCTTTAGTGGGTCCGGGACGGATAGCGCAAGGTACTCGTTTAGGGAAGAAAGTCTATCATCAACTTTCCTCCAGGGCGTTGTGCTCTTCGTGGTTGTGCCCTTCAGAGCTTAAGAAAGGTGCATCAGTCTTGCGTGGGGCATCCTTTTCAGAGCGAAACATTGACACGGGTCTTTCCAATTCCTCAGTGGGAAATCGGCCCCGTTTTTGATGGCTCTTTTTTAGGTGAGGAATGCATTGCGCTCTTAAAGTAGAGGCAGATGGAGAAAACAACTATGTCAGGGGAGTGAACCGGTTGCATTGCCCGTGCATACCTCACAATTAACTGCCACCACTTGAGGAGCGGCATTGCATCCGCGTCCATGGACACATTCTGCGGACACATTTCACCCATATTTCTTGTGGTCCGTCGATGACTGCATAGGGATTACTGTATTGATTTGGATGAGACTTGATGTACCGCAGGAACTGAGTTCAAACTGCCAGAGGTTATCACACAAATGTTATGGTAGAGTGACAAAACACAACAAATGACACGTGTGAACTATGTAAACAGATTGAACAGCGAAAGACTTCAGAAGTTTGGATGAGGGAAAAACGAAATCAATTTTGAGCGTATGTTAAAGGGGATGTACAGCCGGCTTAATCAACGACCGTAAATAAGCAATAACGAGGACATGCTTGTGGTTGACTGTGAGAAAGCATGGTGAGGTAGCAACGCCTCGGCGTTGTTCACTTCTCAAGTACCTTTGGTCACCGGCTACTCGTTGATCGTTCGGTTATTATGCTTGATCAGACCATTTGTTTGCGGTTGGCATGCTGCCATCCTCAGCCGTCAGATGCCCAGATTCTGCAACCAATTCCTAGGCTCTTTGCTCTCAAAGCAAGTCGCCTGATCGGTTAGGATCATTTTTGACACCCCATGGTTGGACATGATGTGATACATTACCACTCCACCAAAAATCGTCGCCCGTCGATTTGGCACGCCTGCCGCCTCGTCCATCTATCGCCCAATTCTGGGACAGGAATGGGTTTCCTGGGATGGGTTGCCCCTGTCCTATCTTCTTTCATCAGTTGGCATCACTCACAGGACGCCATATAATATATCACCTCACTTCTCTCTGCCGAAGTAAGTCGTGCGTCCTGGTGCACCCTGTATATGCCATCTCATGGCATTCTACGATAAGCTTCCGCACCAAGACTCGAGGTATCACGAGCAGCCTAACATCGGAAGCGGTGGTGTTCCAGGAAAGTATGTCAGTTTCATTCGGACTCAGCGGATCAAGGTGAGTCTAGAACGTTTTTGATTCTTTGTCTTCATCTCCAGTCTCAGTACTTATTCAATCCAACAAGGCGTCTGCGACCTTCCGTAATAAACTGTCCTGCCGTTGAAGTTGTACCAACCTTCCGGCATCCAGTTCGACGACGAGGCTTCTCACACCAATCGTAGTCCTGGGAACCTCATCTTCATCCTCTGGTCTTGAGAGCGTATCAGCCAGGTGGTTCTCATTCCCTGGCACGTTCTGGATTGCACAATCCTACTCTTGCCCAGAGCGCGAGCTGCGAGCGAGCTCTCTTGTGTCTCTGATACGCTCAAAAGGTCTGGAATTGGTTTCGACATGAAATCCTTGACCAAGAAGATATGGCCTTCACTTATCCGGGGCCCAGACAATCGCCAGACATTCTTTTAAAATGGTTGAGTACTTTTACTCAGCGTTTGTCAGGACATGACTGACATATTAGCTAACTTCATTCCTCTGCTTTAGGGCTGCGCCAATACCGCGATCACCAGCGTCCTTTGCAGTAGCACACACCTCTCCGAACATGGGCAGGTTGCTGATTCGGCATCCGCGCTTTGACACACCCGAAAACCTCATGTGCTTCTCCGGTCCATGCAGATTTCCAATTTTTCTTGAGCAACTCGTACAGTGGCGCATCGGTTGTGCTGAACTCCTCAAGAAACCGGCTGTAGTACGCTGCTCATCCAATAAATGGCCATAGAGACCACTCTGAATATGAAACAACACAATCATCGAACTTTTCCAACTTTCTGGCCGCGGGCCAACTTCTCCGTTACCCTATTTATGCCCCAGTAGTGTCACCGAACTCCGAACTATCTTCGTAGTGGCTTCATACATCCACAGATCAGCCTCTCGTATCAACTACAATACGGCCTTCAAGTGCTCTGGTTCCGATTTACTGTACCCAACTTTGTACACGGCAACATTCTAGACCCCCTTCGTCAGGCGAAGCATCAAGCGCCGGAAGGTGAGTGGTGTCCCGGACAAACCAAACGGCAACCGTGAAAATTGGTGTTGACTGTCCCGAATCGTGAAAACCGTTTACTCCCGGTCCTCCACCCTGGTAGGTAGTTGCCAAATACCGGAACGCAAGTCGAACACAGTGAAATATGGGGAGTGCCAGAGGGAATCGAAAATCTTCGCAACCGAAGGGACGGCCACAGTCCGATTTACGGTATGATCATCCAAACGATGAAAATCCACGCAAAACCGGTATTTTCCGTTCGCCTTGTTTACGAGCACACTATTGGCTTCTCCGATTATGCCATTTTTCAACATCACAGTATTTGTTTGTGAACATTCCCCCGTAGATGGAGCGGCAGCGGATGGGGGCAGTTAGGTGGAAGGCATTCAAACGAGAGGGGAATTTTATGTTCCATCCACGGGGAGACGCCAAACGGGTCTTCATTGCCCCGGAACAGTTCGGAGTGTTCCTCAGACACGGACTTCACTGACGTTCGCTCATGGCATTGCCTGAGTAACCCTTTAGTCTGATCGTGCCACAGTTAGTCACCAGCTTCCCCTGCTTCAAGTCAACCGCGGAATCTTTGTTTTTGAGAAAATCTGCCCCTCAATGTTGCCTGCCCTATGTCTGGGCTGATCAAGTACATGCGCTGCACGAACTTTTTGCCTGGGCGTATTGAGTGCATCGTCAATCCGTCAAATTTCAGTCGATGCTCACACACTGCTCTCACTTCTAGCGTGAAATCAGTTTCGTTCCCTCTCCACCTCAGTGATGCCCCTGTTCCTGTATCAATCAAGCACAGCCCACTCTTCCCTTGTAACTCGATAATGGCCTGTATGGTGGCCTGTGCCACCGCGCTTACCGCAGCCATAGGGAAAACAGAAGTAATACGAATTTTTGTTATGTACAGGTTTCGGGGTACGAGGTCATTGATTCTTCCAATTTTCAAGCATGCCACATTTGTAGCATCCGCCCATTCGTGCGTGCCTTCGTGTTTCTGTCTTGACGGCTGCAAGATGTTTGGCGTGTTGGCCCGCTTTTGTACGCAGGTCCTCCACTATTGAATCCTCCCTGTTCTTCTGCGACTATAACGTGGCCAGTGGCGCCTTGGCCAATTCCCGAGCCAAATGCACCATGTTCCTTACGCTCAACTGGCTAGTTACTCTCGCCAACCGCAACCGGACACGAATCACCGGCTGTACTCATTCGAAGAACTGGTTAAACAGCAAGTGCAGGAGCAACACCGGGTCAAATGTCGGCAGGGTCAGATCCAGCGACTGCTGCAGGCCGGCGGAGAACACCATCCGGGTCACCCCCCGGTTCCATTCTGGTCGCCTTGAACCGCATCATAGTCTCCTGGTTGTCAACCGGTATGTCCGCTGCAAGGGCTTCATCCGAGGTGGCCTAGTTCATCTTCTGAGGGCCACCACGGCCACAAACAGGCGCTAGTTGCTCCCGACTTCTTTTACATATATACCGATAGTATTTTTGTCACAATATTACTCTGTTCTTCAACGAATTTTTGGGAGGAATGGAGCCGTTAAAATTACGCATAAGATTGCTAGTGTCGAGCTTCGCATCTTTGGTGGAAGATTACATTTTAACTCATCCCCTCGTATAGTTCCGCCGTCGTGGTCTCTCAGACTCTACAATTTTTGTATTTTCAATTGATCTACAACATACGACACTGCAAAGCGGGCCTTTCGTCGTAACCAATCGCATGTATGTATTCGAATCGATGTATAAGTACAGCACTCGGAATATTGGAACTCGGGATTATTTAATAGAGCGATGAATGGAGCATCGATAATGTTCATTGCAAATTTCTTAGCTCATATACTTTGTGGCCATTTTAAAGGCGACTTTGAAGACATACTTCCAAGTTAATCATCCATGGGACATATTCCGCCTCTCCCATTACAAGTGGCGGTCTATACAGAATTGGTAAGTAGCTTCTGGTGCAGAAGGGCTAGCGACTAAATGAGGTTGGACACTTCTGCAAACTGCATGAAAACAAATAATCTATTTCCGGGGGACCTTAATTGGCTGTGTTTTTTCTTGTGGCGGTTTCCCCGACATCATCATCCTCGCTGGTGGCTGATCAGATGGCTATTCAACCGTTCTCCTGTTTTCATAGTTAGCTTGCAGACATTCTGTCCGCAGTTGGGGAGACTTTCTTTCTACTCACCTGAGTGCGTAATGCCTCCTTACCTGTCTGTGCTTATTTAGTTTCCCAGGAGTATCCAATATCTCCTCATCTAATTGACTGACTCATACATACCCTTCTTGGACGCTAACTAGACGCACGTCCAAATCATTTTCGTCGAAACTATGGGGTTTTTGAAGTTGAGAATTTTACGGAAAGTTAGTCTAATCCGTTTGCATCTTTCGGCGACGTTCGCAGAGCATTTAGGTGAGCGAAATTTCAAGGTCCTCTTGTTCCCGGTTTACACGAGAAAAAACATGAAATCGCACGTCTGCATATTTTGTCATCATTCGGCGTTCATTAAGAATAAAATGACATCTACAGAATATCTAATGCAAATTTCACACAGGAAAATCGGTCATTGACGTTTGATCAACAGCCACCTTATCAACAAGCAATAAACTTACCCGAGCTACCAACATCTCAGCATGATACCGGTGCGCGTTTGATCACAGCCACCTTATCAACAAGCAATAAACTTACCCGAGCTCCCAACATCTCAGCATGATACCGGTGCGTGGTGATGATGACCTTGAGGTCAAAGGCCTCCCTTCAGTTCCCCGAAAATTCTTCTCAGATATCTCTCAAGTGGCTTGAGCACCTAACACTCAACACCTACCAGAATCTCTAGTACTTAGGTTACGAAATTCCTCCGAAGGGATAAGTGCTGCAGTGAGGCTGGTCGGTTCGTTGCTCATACTGACTCTTTTGACTGTCATCCGTCCCCACTCAACATCCATACGAACCACACCAGAATCCGTGCTCCTTCATTCCGGAAACTACTTAGGTTAATTCCTCCGAAGGGATAAGTGCTGCAGTGAGGCTGGTCGGTTCGTTGCTCATACTGACTCTTTTGACTGTCATCCGTCCCTCCCCAACATCCATACGAACCACACCAGAATCCGTGCTCCTTCATTCCGGAAACTGTCCAATTCTTTCTATCTTAATCCTGTTATATATATACCTTTGTTTCCAGCACTAATATATA